CGATAACCGTTCCTCCATAAAATATGTGTCTTAATTTCGGGTCCCAACCAGCCTGACATATGTCATCTACAATTTTTAGTGAGTACATGTACTGCCCTTCATCATCATCAGTGACGTTATTAAATATAAGACTGCCTGTTGCACCATCTGTAACATGTTTCTTCATTTCAAAACTAAATTTGATTGATCCACGGGTTTTATTATCTTTCTCTGTATTCCCTTTATCCTTTACAGAATATGGTTTGCCAGTTGATGAATATAGTATTCTACCATTAACTTTAATTTTCCCAGTTGTTTTTACATTTACTTTTTCAGATGAATAGAGTGGTAATGAATTGAGTAGAGTGTTATTTGGCCATTCACATGAATGTAAGAGCATGATGAAAAATGGATCATCGTGTCCGGATCGTGTCGTAAAACAGGAATGCTCTGATGTATAAGTTGACGTAAAAGACGCTTCGATGCACTCTCCTCTCGCAACTGTTAACTTTTTATCTTTTTTGAAATCTAGAGCTTCTTTATGTCCTGGTTTTTTAACAACACAAAAAAGATGCATAATTATCTATAAGTGATTAGTTTAAGTATTTTATATTGTAACAGTTTTTTATATTTATATGTCATAATAGTAATTTTGCATTACCTTTTTTTGTATATTCTACCGGTATAAATTTTTCATGGGCTCGCCTTATTTCTACTTTCTGATCCCCTACGATTATCAGTTTGTTCATCTGAAAAATCCAAGTTTAGTGATTTCTTGAATTGTGAAGTCATAATAGTATAATAATAAAGAATTGAATTGAAAAAAATATATACTTTTTTTAATAACCAATGTAGGCCAATTATAGTTAGAATGATTTTTGATATACGTGTCATTGTCATTGTAATAATGAATTGTAGCCTACTGATTGTTAAAATACAACGAAAAACCTAATCATGTAGCTTGCATTTTATGCAAGATGCTGAAAGTATAGTACTTGGATTTTATGTACAAAGTGCAGAAAGGGTAATCGCTCATAAGAGCAGATAGCGCCCTCAGTCAAACCTATCTTTTAGGCAAACAGAACTTGAGAGTGGAATGTGTTACAATTAGTCCGGGAGCCAGGGGCCATTTATTTGCATAAAATGAAAGCTTATAAAATTTTCTATACATTGGTACCGAACTTGTTTTTGGATCTTCTTGGTTTAGGTACGGTTTTGGGGTAAAAACACAAAATTATGTCATTTTTTGTCAAAATTTGGTATTTTTTGTCTTTATTTTTATTTTAAAAATATACTACATGCCTATTTGACTATCTCTTCTAACACTAAAATGTGTACCTAATGTAAAATAATTGCATATGGTTATGAATCATCACACCCAATGAGACGTCCAAGGAGGTTACACATATTGAAGTAAAACTGTTATAAAAATGTGTACGTGTTATTATTAATATGTGTGCAGGTCAAAAAAAAAAATTTATATAACTTACAAAGTCTTCAAAGCGATGTTTATTTTTTAAATACTTCTTCAAAAAATACATGGCTAAAGCAACTACGCCTACTATGAGAACGGAGACAATGATGAACACTATCCAAATTGGAGAAATGGATGATGAAGGCGGAATTGCTTCTGTGAACAGATTATGGTGTTTATTAGAAAATATAAATATAAAAAAAATTGTGGTGTGTAACCATTCATCGCGATTAGCGCATGATGCGTAAAAAGGTCACGAAAGGTCAACCTAAATAATTAATTAGGTAATTAGGCTTTTTTCACGAATTGGTAGACATCATGAAGTGATGAGAAACATTGCGAATCAGCGGTGCGTAACCAACAGATATAAAAGCTTTTGGGCTGATTTTCTGACATCATGTTATTTATTTAATCATAACTCTATAACGGGGAGTCGTAATAGGTATATGCATTACAGTTCTGTAGTACTAGTAATACTCTGAACTAGCATTGTTTTAGTTACCATATGAGAGTTTCCTGTGTTAAAAACATGATTTACTATACTATACCTCTTTATAAAACATATAATAACTTGTACTTTATAATAAGAGAAATCTGTATATTATCGGTACAGTAAGAACATGAAAGTGCTATGCTACTGCACTGAAATGCAAAGGCCTATTTTAATACACTACTAAGATAGGCTTTTTTTCCCCATCTTGATTTCAGAGGTCAAAAACATTTTTCAAATTTGTTCTAATCATATAGTGGTGTAGACTAGTCTTTTAAGAACATCTTGCTGGAAAAGTTTCTGAATACGACTCCCCGTTATGGAGTAATGATTTTTAAAAAAAACATGATGTCAGAAAATCAGCCCAAAGCTTATCTTATTTCTGTTGGTTACGCACCGCTGATTCGCAATGTTTGTCATCACTTCAAGATGTGACTGCCGATTCGTGAAAAAGGCCTAAAATGAAAATTAACCCTGTACATGACCGTTGAACTTTTCAACTTTCTGTTTTCCGGCGACCTGGTATCGGCGATTGGTGAAATATATATTTAATATAGCAAGGTCAAACATGAGTGACTGACGGGTTTGGTATAACTTATACCCCCTTTACACTGCCAAAGGCAGAATCGACCCGGGTTACTTCCGGAGTGATCCCAGGTGCATTTATTATTATTATTCTCTTTAAAAGTAATGTATTATAACATTTTAAGGTAAACTGTTTTGTATTTGGCTTACCTTTTTTACTTAAACTGAATGTAATTGAATTGCTGTATTTTCCATTTTTTCCAAAAAAGTATTCGTTTTCAGCTCTACAACTGTAGTTCCCTTCATCACGTTGATCAAATTTTTTTATTTCTAATATTTCATCGCTGACAATATATTTGCCAGAAGCACTGTCTATGATGTCACCCTCATGGAACCACCTGAGCAAACTCACTACCGGAAATGACGACACAACTTTACATGACATAGATACTCGCGTACCTTCAGGTATGCGTGTGTCGGTTAGTGCCTGGATTTTAGGTTTATCTAAATCTGTTGATAAATATCATAACCGTAATCATTATGATGATCATCATCATTATGACAGTGATGATGATGATAATGAAGACGACGATGATGACTGATGATGATCAGTGGCGGCGCCAGCGGGGTGGGCTTAAGCCCCCTCCCCCCGCCAGAGCTCGTCGGACAGTCAGAGCATAAAACCTAGCTCAAATCCCCCGTCGGACAACTTAGCCCCTGTCTCTTATACACATCTAGATGTGTATAAGAGACAGGGGATGATGATGATGATGTTGATGATTGCTTTTTGTGAAGTTAAATGAAAAATAATCACTATCGGTCATATAATAATAATAATAATAATAATAATAATAATAATAATAATAATAATAATAATAATAATACTGTAATAATAAATTCGTATTATTAAAGGTGATACTAGTATTCACTTACAGTTCACTGTTAATTTGCTGTCATCGGAATGGGGTACGGTTGATCCTGTAGACTGGTCGTTCACTCCACATGTATAGGTACCCTTGTCCCATCGCAACACCACTTTAATGATCAAACTAACATTCCCGGACGTTGAGTCACCCAGTGAATACCTCGAGTTTGTTTTTGGTGGGTCGTCTGATCTTATGATGACAGTTCCATTTGTCTTCCAATACCACTTGCCGATATGGGCGTTAGATGGCGAGAAGAAGCAAGGCAAGACGGCGCTGTCCCCTTCATTTACGCGTAGGTTGTCAGCAACTAGGCTGTCAATACTCCGGCCAGCTATAAATCCTGCATATGATAACAACATTCATATTGTTTTTAAATATCACTTAAACAATAAAATGAGAATGTCGATTTACACAGGGGTGGCGCAAGGATTTGCCTGAGGTGGGGGGGGGGGGGCGGGCCCCCCCCCCCCCG